GCCAGCTGGCCTTCTGGAGGAGGTGGCATGGCTACCTCCTAACCCTCTTTCTCAGCTGCAGCCTCGGCCAGGGAGGACCATGAGTCGGGGAGCCCCCCCTCGTAAAGGCCCCAGCTGATCCGCTCGGGGACAGGGCTCCAGCATGACCCAGCAGCACAGGTCATAGAGTCCCAGAATGTTCCAGTGCCTGGGGTTCTGGGAAGGAAGCTGGCCCAGAAAAGAGAGGCTCTGCCCAGGCCCCCCAGGACGGCAGCAGGACTGCAGGGGGACTGCAGGGGAGAGGCGACACAGGGAAGTGCCCTCCCCACCTCTACCCAAAGTCTCCCTCCTTTCCTCTGGAGTCAGGCACCCCTGACTTCAAATTCCACCACCTGGCAGCCACGTGATCTTGGGCAAGTTACTCAGCCTCTCTGGACCTCAGTTTCTCTCTGTGGAAATGAAGATTATAATAGTCCTGACTTCATACCATCATCATGAAGTTCAAATGAAACAATACATGCCAGCACAGCAGAGCAAGTGAGCAGTAACTGTCAGCCATGACCGTAACGGCATCATAAAGTCATTCAACAAGTATGTGCCCAGTGCCAAAATCTGGAGCCAGGGAATAAACAAATACACAAACAAGGTCATCACAGATTGCCAAAAGAGCTGGAAAGAGACCCAGGAGAGAAAAAGGAGCAGGGTGGGAGCTTTCTTAAGGAGGCTACAAGGGGCCCTGAAGGATAAGACAAGAGTCAACCCTTCGAAAAACAGACAGAGGCTCTTCCAGGTAGAAGCAACGGCCTGTGCAAAGGCCCTGAGGCTGGCAAGGGCAGGTATGACTGAACGCCAGCAGGGAGACACACAGGCGATGCAGGCGGTAGGAGGCGGGAGACGCGGGCCAGTGCAAGGAATTACGGGCCATCTTCACCATCAATGTCATGTGTGACTTTTTTTCTTCACACCCATCTGTCTGTCCCATGTCCCTTTCCATGCCCACCTCCCCCTGGGTTGACCAGGCAGGCCCAAGTTGGGTCCCCCTTCTCTCTCCCTGCAGCCCCCTCAACTCTGCAAGTACCCCCAATCTCTCAGAATGCCAATGGAAGCCCGTGGCCTTGCAGGGTGAGCAACCTAAGGGGGGCCGGGGTCCCTCTATGTCTGTAGGGCGCAGCACTGGGGCTGGCACACAGCGCCCCGCACAGTCCAGCAAGGGGTGCTACATGCCCGTCACCTGCAGCAGAAGAGACAGGCCTGAGAGCCTGTGATTCCGGGAGGGGGCGGGAAAGGGGTGCTTGCCGCGGAGACCCAGTAGCCTCGCCCCATCCCGCAGCCTCTCAGGGCTCATCTGAGCCGGAGAGCAGCTGGGGCAGGCCTGGCCCAGGGCCTGTCCACCCCCACAGCTGCAGGAGGCAAAGGGACAGCCAGTGCGGGGGAGGCTCGGGTCAAAGTCCTGCTGAAGGAAAACAGCTGGGAGAGGGGCAGCCAGTCGGCCCCAAGCCAGCTCTGGGGCCCCAGCAGGGTCCCCCCAGCACAAACATGCCGTGGGGGCGGGGGTGCCGCAGCCCCAGCCCCACCCGCCGGCAGACTTGGGCCACCACCAGCTCCATGGCCTTGAAGCGGCCCCAGGAGGTGGCAGAGCCCACCCTCAGTGACCCACCACACACCCCTCCACTCCCACAGCCTCGGGGAGTTCGCAACCAGGTTCCTGAAGGTCAGGCTGGCAGGAGGCTTAGGCCAGACCAGGGGTGGGCCTCTGGCCTGCAGCAGATGTCATGTCCGAGGCCTGTCATGCTATGCTGCGTGTACATTTGTGTCTGGGTACACGTGTGTATGTGTGTGGCTGTGTGTGCACGACTGTATGGGTGTATTTGGCTCTGAGCATGTGTGGTGCCTGCTCATGTGTGTGGTGTGTGCACTTCTGTGTTCATGTGTGTGCACACACTGCTCTCTGAAGTCACCTGTGCATCTGAATTCGCATGCACGTGTATATGTGTGCACAAGCTTGTCACTGTATGTGCGCACCAGGGGACCTGTGGGGCCATGCCCTGCCCTGGGGACCAGCACTGGTGCGGTGGGCCTTGAACAACTAGCAGTTACTGGGCCACCCACTACACACAGGAAACGGAGCTCAGCACAGCGAAACCCCTAGCAGCAACACGCAGGTTCAAGCACAGGACCTGCAGCCACCAGAACAAGAACACTGTCCTGGGGCCAAGCAGCACTTCACACGTCTCAGCTCACTTCATTCCCATTTCATTGATGAAAAAACCGAGACACAAAGTGTCAACTAACTTTATGGAGCTCCTGCAACTAATAAACTGGTGAAACAGCCCATGGGCCAGTGGAGATGCTAAGGAGAGAAAGCCAGCAGGGGAGGGGCTGCATTTCCAAAGCAGGTGCCCCAGGAGGCCAGATGTGGCTGGCTCCCCCTTCCCCACTCAGCCCCCACCCACCAGGTTCTGAAGAGTGCCCAGCCAGGGCAGAGGGACCCTGGGCCCAGGTAAGGGAGCAAGGAAGCCACTCCCACCCTGGCTGACCCCAGGGAGAGGTTTGTCCTCAGGGCCTTTATCCGGGGAAAGGGTGGAGAAGGGGGCCTCAGCCCAAAATAGCCTAGGAATTTTCCATAGGCCCTACAGGTCTTCCTGTAAGATTCTCAGAGTCCAGCGGCTGCCAGGTTCTGGCCTTTCCAAGCCCTCCACGGCTTACCCACGTATCTGGGGACTCAAGAGCCAACTCTGTAGAGCCCCTGTTAACCCCCTCCTCCTGCCCTCTTGGCCTGAACACCCACCAACCGTATCAGGGATGAGTTTGTCTTAAGCAAAGTAGCCAGGTGCTTACCCCAGGCAAGGGGGCTTTGGCAGTGTTATCGGCCATTTACACTTTAGTGAGAGGGACTTTGCAGTTCCTATCACAAGGATTCATTCTTAGTAGCTTTCACATCTTTCCTGGAAGGCAGGTAGATGGGGGCGGGGAAGACAAGAGCTGGGTTCAAGATGGTGGTCAGTGTGGTTCTTGACAAAGTCAGACCTCTCCAAGCCTACTCTGAAAAATGGGGATGTCTTGAGCCTTCCATGGGTTTCTGGCTGGAGGAGGGCAGGACATCGTGTTGGGGCACCTCCGAGCCCCAGGGCAGGCCTTTGCTGGCAAGTGGGGTGACTACTAGCCCACACGAAGGAAGAAAGAAGGGGACAGAGCACTGGAGAACCAACCGTGGGGGGCGGGCAGTGACGGCTGTGCTTATTTGCCTTAAGTCCACACAGCCACATGCCCCCCATCCCGCTGTGTCAGGCAAGCCCTGGGCGTTCACATACATCTAGACACACGCTCACAGCAGCCCAACGGGAGACACTTCAATCATCCCCATTCCACAGGTGAGAAAACTAAGGCACAGAGAGGTTTGAGCCAGCTCTTCTCATACTTTAGTACAGCCACAAATACCTGGGGGTGGTGATAAACAACAGGTCGGGAGGGGCTGAGCGCCTGCATTTCTGAGGAGCTCCCCAGCAAGGCCGATGCTGCTGGTCCAGGGAGCACCAGCGCAGCCTAAGAGTGGCATGGTGTGACACACTTCCCCAGCTCACAGCCAGTGCGCGGCACGGCACGTGGGGCCGGAACCCAGTGTAAGAGGGGGAAGGGAAATGGGGCAGGGGTGGGGGAGGAGGAGGCCTGGCTGAGTCGCAGTTACCCTAGTGCACCGGGCTCCTGGCGTAAACTGAGGTAGAGATGCCATACCTTCCCTCCCCACTTCGGCCCAGCTGAGCCCCAGCCTGGCAGAACCGAGGGCTCCAGGGCGGAGGGGCAGGGAGAGTCAGCTGAGGCCTGGCAGACGGGTCCCAGGAAGGGGGACGGGGCCCTTCTTAGGGCCTACGCCACATTCCCCTCCATTGTTCGGGGCGATCCGGCTCGGCGGAGGAGGGGAGGGAGGGCGTCAGGAGGAGGACGGCCCGCCTGCCTCCCGGTGCAGAGAAAAACACAGCGGGTGGGCGCCAGAGAGCACCCGCGCCGCCACCCAGACCGCGCCCAGCCGGGAACCGCGCCCCCGCTCCCAGGGGCCCCCGAGTGCTGGGAAAAGGCCGGAAGCCGAGGACCAGCGTGCCGGGAAGCAGAGGCGCCCCTCCAGCACTGAACCCCATTAGCGCTCCGGCCCCGCCATGTGGGCGGGGCCACCCCGGCGCCCCGCTCCGCCCCGGGGCCTGCGCCCTCCCTGCTCCCAGCTTCAGCGCCGCGCGCCCCCAGGGAGGTCCACGCCCGCGTCCCTCAGAGGCCGAGTCTGCACCCCCCACCCCAGTGCCAGCGTCCCGAGTTCCAGCCTCGCCTCGGTTCTGCCGGGCTTCGACGGCACAGCTGACTGATCTTCACCCTCACCCCTGGCGACCGACCTCACCGCTGCGGGCCTCGGTTCACTCACCGGCCGGAGGGACCGTAATGGGTGTGGAGCAGACGGTGCGAGGGCTACGACGACGGGCTCAGCCAGCAATAGTTGAGCCGCTGGGCCATCTAGAATAATCCCGCCCGTTCCTGTCCCTGCTGATGAGACACAAACCAAAAGCCCTAACTTTGCCACTGCGCGGTATAAACAAAGACCGCTCCCCTCCCAGGGGAACCCCCCCCCTCCCCAGGACCCCAGCGCTGGGTCTAGCTCAGCTCGTTCCCATCCCCCAGCACCAACTCGGTGCCAAATCCCACGAGGCCGCAGGACCCTGTTAGCTGGGGGTGAAGGAGGGGAGGGGCAGACTGAGCAGCAGAAGGGCGAACCCGCGGCCCCCAAGGCCATCCGGGGAGGACGGAGGCGGGGTGGGGGCGGCTGCGTCCAGTCTTAAAGGATCTCGTAAAGGGTGGGAAGCCGTTCCCGGCAGAGGGACGCGCAGGGGCAAAGGCCCTGGAGGAGGTCGTGGTGGGAGATGACAGAAAGCTGTGCTGAAAAGTTTGGGACTCAGACAATAGGGAAATCAGTGGACGATTTTTAAGCCAGGGTCTTGATTTGAACCGACTGTTTCTAGAAGTTCCCTCTGGCTTCGGAGAGGCAAACGGATAGGCATGGCAAAGAGACTGAGAAATATCAGAAAAGCAACTAAAAAAAAGAGGGCAGCAGCTCACTTTCCTCCCGGCACTGGGTTAGCCATCTCCTTTTGTTCCCGCACACCCCCTTATGAGAGGAGAAGTTATATCCCCAGTCCACAGATGGGGACACCGGGGCTCCGGAGGCCTCTGGTTTGCAGTGAGACCCCCCGACACACATCTCTGAGAATGAGGAGGCCCTGCCCGGAGCGGAATGATCTCCGCTCCCCCACCCCCAAAACACACACACATCCACTCCAACTCCAGAAAAGCTGGGGGGCCAGGGGCTTCCTCTTGGAAACAAAAAGAACGTTGCATTTCCGGCCGGCAAAGCTGGGCTGCTGGCGGGGCGGGCGGAAGGAGCCTGTGGGTGCGGGGGAAGTTTCTCTGCTTCGCCAAGGGGTCCCCCATCCGGCGCAAACACCCGGGAGCGCCCGGCGGCCAATCCCGCGGCGCCAGGGGAGCCCCCACCTGCCCCGCCAGGGCGGCGGAGGTCCCACCCGAGCCCACAGCTGGCGAGGCCAGGCTTGGCTGGGGGTGGCTCCACCTCCCGAGCCGCACCCCCCGCATCGCACCAAAGTCACCCCATTCATGCTCCAGCCCACCGTTAAAGTGTGGGGAGGGAATAAAGGGATCGGGGTGGAGGGCAAAGAGGAGAGAAGGTGTTCCCAGGACGCGGGAAGTGCTACCCGACGTTTGCTCCAAGTCCCTCCAGCTGCGGCCACACCCACTCCTTCGCCTGCAGTGAGTAACCCGCTCGCCGCCCCGCATTTCCTAGGGGCCTAGAGAGACCCAGCCCGGACCCCTGCCCGGGAGTGGGGAAACCCTACAGTAGGGAGGCTGAAGGAGGCGGAGGAGCCCGAGGTCCCATCCCGGCGGCTCCCGGACCTCCGGGCGGAAGCACCCCATCACTCCCCACCGGGGCCCCGGAGACACGCCCTACCTGGCTCAACAGATCCGCTCCGCCAGCTGCTCCGCTTCGACTGCGAAAGCCCGGCCCGGGAGGGGGCGTGATCCCCGGGGCGGCCCGCCGAGGCCCAGCCCCGCCCCAGGCGCTCCCCGCCAATGGGAGGCGGGCAGGGGGCGGGTAGGGGCGGGACCCGGAGCGGGGAGCCCAAAGCAGTTTTGCGTCCGCGCTGCTTGCGGGAACGCGGCCTTCGGTCCCGGAAGCTCGCTGGGAGGGAAGAGGGCTGGCGCTCGCGGGTCCTCCCTCCCTGGCCGCGCAGGACTGGCCGCCATGACCGCGCCGGAGCCCGGCACGGGCCCGGGTCGCCTCCTCGTGAGCGGAGAGAGATCCAGGAACGACGACGAGTGGGAATGAAGAGAGGCGGAGGGGAGACAAAGAGCAGAGGGGCAAAGAGGGGAGAAGGGGAGAGAGAAAATGCAAGAAAGAAAAAGCAGAAACCAGAGGAAACTGTTGATTTCCTTCTGTTTTGTTTTGCTCGTAAGTCCGGAGAGGAAACTAGTGCACAGGGGGAGAGGTGACCTATACCAATACCAAGTGGGGAGCAGCCCATGCACGAGCGAGCGCAGCCCTGCAGCGAGGTTCAGGCTGGCATCTGAGGGGCCTGAAAGGGGCAGGTATCCTGGGACAACAGGGCGCAGGAGTTGGGGTGCTTGCCCCATCAGCTTGCCTGCCTGCCTCCCCCTTGGCCCCTCTCTGCATGCCCACGAAGGCCAACGAGGGCACAGCTGTCTGCGAGCCAGCAAGAGAGCCTCCACCACGAGCTGAACTGGCCGCCAGTTCAGACTTCCCAGGCTCCAGGCCTGTGAGGACTAAGTGTTGTCTGAACACTTCCATCCATGGTATTTTGTGGCAGCAGCTGGAATAGGCTAAGGCAGTCCCCTTTTCTTCCTAATTTCCCCAAAGCCCTTCTCAACTTCTCAACTCATTGGAGCCTCACAGGATTTCATACTCGATTGATGCTGTCCTGGGCTAAATCACCCACTAGGTGTGTGCGTCCATGCCAGGCTCTATGTCGGCCACTGAACATCCCGAAATAAAAAATGCCCACCCAGTTCCCACCTTGGAGGAAGGAGGGGTTGCAGCCTGGTAAGGCAGAAGAGGGGCGAATAACCCTGCCTCCAAGCCGTTAGACAAGACAGGTCCCAGGGAGGAATTCTCCTTCCTACATTGCCATAGCTTCAGCCAGTGGAGTCAGCGTGCCATCTTGCCCTCAGCTGATGGCACTGGTCTTACATCCAGACTTGAGCCAACAGCTGATGAGATCAGGCCTAAAGTATTCCACCCAATAAGGACCAGTCATCCATCCATCCATCTGACAAATATTTATTGCACGTGAGCTCTGTTCCAAGACCTAGACTAAACAAAACTCACGTTAGCCCTACCCCATGCGATGTCACACTCTAACAGGGGAGGCAGATGTTAAACCAGTAAACACACAATGGTATACAATCCCACAGTACCCACATCAGGGACAGAGTCCATGTTGGAGAAGCCACAAGAGGCTTCTCTAGAAAGCGCTGATGGACCTGAGATCTGGAAGATCAGGAATTAAATAGACAAAGGGAAGGACATTTCTGAGAGGGGTAGGGCATGTGCAAAGGTGCTGAGGTAGGAGGGAGTATGGTGGGGGTAGGCCATAGAGAAAAGGGAGTGTGGAGTGAAATGGCAGGAGCCAGAATGAGCTAAATTTATGGGTCTCAACTAGGGGGTTTCACCTTTAAGAGTGCTGGCAGCCAGGGAAGGGCTTCAAGAAGAGATGAAATGGAGACTGCTTGCTCCACAGTGTAATCGTGCACCCACCTGCCCCCATTTCTTCCCACCATGACCTAGGCCTCACCTGTTTCACCAGGGGCATCCGCTGCCTCCCACCTTGCTGCCCCCCCTCACATCCATGCCCACGCTCCAATTTTCTGTGCAGCAGCCAGAAAGGAACTTTCAAAAGCACAAATCCAACCATTGTTAAAGAAAAAATTACTTATGACACCTGTTAAAATGGTAATGCAGATTTTATTCAACACTATCACAATAGGTATAGGGGCTATGGCAATGAGCTTCTGCACTAAGGGACAGAGACGCAACTCAACTCCGAATAAAACAAGGGAAAGGGGAATGTATGGTCCAGGAGCAGGGTGAGGGGCATGAATGGGAAATCACTGAGACCAGGAAGCCTGGGGGGGGAGGCGGGGGGGGTTCTGGCTGAACTGACCAGGCAGAATTCCTGCAGAAGGCAGGCCAGACTGATCAGTCATCAGCTGGGTGATGGAAGGAAGTGGGGAATTTGGCCAGATACGGAGCTTACCCAACTTGGATTCTTACTAAAATTGACTCTTCAAGGACAGAGACCCCCGAAGTCATGCCTCATTAGCAGAGGGCTCAGAGGAGCCTAACTAAAATCTGGTCAAGGAGAGAATAGCTGTGAACCCCTGCTGGGGGCTCTTGGTCTCTGTTGGGCCACTACCTTCTGGACAGTCACCTCCCTGTCCATGGCTGAGGAGGAGGGTCCTGGTGGATGACTGTCTCCCCTTCTGTAAGTTGGTGTCAGACCTGCCTATAGTTGAAAGGAATCTGGAAACACCCTGGACAGGATGGGGAGGAACAGAGGGGGGTGGGGGGGAAGATTCAACCCTCTGCCCAGCTCCACAAGGGCCGACCCCTCAGGGCAGCTCTTGGGATGGACCTGCTCAGTACAAGGTCCAAGGGAACAGAGGAGAGGGACCAGAAGCCTGCCTGTGTGAACACACCCCACACCCGATGCCCCTTCACACACCCCTCCCACAGGGACAGACACACAGACATGGCACATCACAGACACGCAGCCCACCTGAGCTACTGGGACACACACACGTCTCCATACACAAATGTGCCATGCGGCTGAGCTATTCATGGACACACACCCGTCACCCAGCTCCCTGGGCCCTCCCTCAAACTCCAGACCCCAAGAGCTTTCTCAGCCTAGAAACAGCCCTGCCTCCCCAGAACCTTCATTGATGCCCCGGAATGAGAGCACCCCACTTCCCTTCCCTCTCCCCAGGTAGGCCATGGGGCTTGGGGTGGGGGAGCCTAAAGCAGCCGACACACCTCACACATCTCCTGCCCCCCCCCACCAGCTCTCCACAAGCCAGTAGGAAAAGGGTGCAGAAGGGGTGGCTGATCAAGCTGGAAATTCACCCCAATATGACCCAGCAAGTCAGCCCCAGGGCTCCAGGCAGAGTGGAAAGGACCTCTGCCATGGGCAGGAGGGCAGGGGAGGGTTCTGGAAAGCCCAGCCCCTCCCCAGGCCCCTCAGCAACCCAGCCCCACCCCTCCCTCCACACACTTGCACAATAATTACAATTATAACTCATTAGTCTGGATTCCTTCCTTCTTACCTCGCCTCCTGACTGGAGCTGGCCATTTCCGGGAAGAGAGGATGAGCAGAAGGGGGAAAAAGCCCCATTTCCTTTGTCTCTGAAGCAGCCCCAGCTTTCTTATTGCTCAAAAAAGAAAGCAGAGCCCAGAGAGGGTGAGTGAGGTGTCCAGGGTCACACAGCAGGAGAGGATCAGGGGGGCCTCCCAGGACCCTCAGCTACCAAAACTCCAGGCTCATTCCATTCCTGGAATGGGCTCCCCCACCTCTCCCTGCTGCCCTGGCTTTCATGGTTCTGCTTATTTAACTTATTGTTGTCATGGTTATTATTATGACTAATTGCTAATTCACTGCAAGCTTTCTATGTTCCAGGTACATACTGTGTCCCAGGCACTGTGCTGGTTACTGGGGAGACAGCTGTGAACAAAATCGACACAGTCCCTGCCCTGGCGTTGCTGATGTTTTGGGGGCAGAAAGACAATGATCAAGTAAACTAATACATGAACCAGTAAATTCCAGACGGAGTTAACTTGCCACCGCCGAAACAGGTGGTATGGCGGAGGATGGCTGGCTCCTCTGGCCAGGGGGCCCACGGCAGCCCTCCGTGAGGAGTGGCCTGTGAGCTGAGAGCTGGATGACGAAAATGAGCTATGGCATCTCAGGAAAGAGGCTTCCAGGCGCAAGAACAGCAGGGGCAAAGCCTGGGGGCAGAAGGCAACCAAACAGAAAGTAAGCATGTGTGAGGGGGGATCAGCAACAAGGTAAAACGGTCTCACTGAATTTTCCCGACATTCTTGGCAAGAAGGATTATCATTAAGAGGAGGACAGAGAGGCTCAGAGAAGTGAAGACACCTGCCTGGGGTCACACACATGTGAGTGCTGGAGCCTGCACCTGAACGGCTTCCTCCTCCGATATGTCAGGCTTCTTTGGGGGAGGCAAAGGTTACAAACACACACACAAGCAGTCTTCCAGGAGCCTGAGCCTCTCCGAGGACCAAGAGGCCTACAGGGAGCCCTCCCAGGCCTCAGGGCTCCCCCACGGGGACTTGAGTCTGGTGCCAAGGGCCTGGGCTCTAACCTGCTGGGTCACAGCTCTTCCATGTGGCCTTGGGCTGGCCTCAACCCTGTCTCATGCCTCATCCTTCTTCCAGCCTGGCCTGAGGGAGACCTCAGCCCCAGGGGGAGGGTGGTGGGGCAGCCAGTGTGGGGGACCTCTCAGCCCCCAGAGCAGGGAGGGAGGCAGCGAGGCGGGCTCATGCAACCTAGTGCTGCCCCCTGGTGGCAATGGCCAGGATGACGGGCGCCCTCATTCCTTCACCCTCAAAGCACTCCAATTCCATTGGCACCCGGGACCCAACTCTGTGTTAGGAGCTGTCATTCCCAAAATCCTTGGGGAAGAAGGCAGTTCCCAGCCCAAGGCCGAGATGTGTAACCAAGTCTATCCAAGCCCCCGGGTCCTGGAGAGTGACATCAGGAGATGCTAAGCCAAAAGAGGTGCGTTGTGATGAGTGTCATTCATCCATTCATTCATGTTCGTTGAGCACCTCCTCCTTGCCGGGCGCTGGGGGATACAGCAGGCATCAAGTCTCGGACACCAGTGCCTGTAGGGGTGTGGATGCGCTCCAACAGCGACAGGAGCCCTGAGCACAGAGTGAGGTGAGGGTGACATCACCACGTCACTGGGCATCTGGGCCGGAACGCCTAATTGGAGTTTAAGACTCTGAGGTGTGGATGTCACGGGTACCGGAGAAGAGCTGGAGAAAGAGGTCAGCGGGTCGCCTGGGAGAGCTGGGGCTGCAGCAGTGACCGCACAAGATGTGGTCTTTTCCTTTTTCCACAAAGAGGGCACCTTTTGAGGGAATTAGGAAAGGGCTTCCTCAAAACTCTTTTCCCCTCCGTCTGCTGAAAAACGGCTGTAATGAATCACAAACCTGTGCGCCTGGGATGCACGTGGCACTTGTTAAGCCCCGCATACCTTGCCCGCATGCCCAGTTTCCCTCTCTTCCCAGGTTATGAAATCTCACAGCTGGCATCATGAGAGGCCTCTGTCAGCCCAAGGTGCTGATGGCTTCGGAGGAAGCTGAGTCCCCAACGATCGTCATTATTGTCACCATTCTCAGTAGCAGCAAGGAAGTTGTGCAACCTGAGCACACGCAGACCCCTGCTGGAATAACTGTGGCCAGCAGATGGCGCTGTGGGAGAGCCGGGAGGGTGACCCAACCACGTTATACGTATATTAATAAAGCAGAAGCGGACTGAGCACTTGGCTATTCTCTCTGATGACTGGATTCCTCTGCTGTAGACGGTGACGATGGTCTCATTTTTCCTCCCGATACCTGTTGTGATATAGCTTTGCACTCCTACCACAAGGGGGTGACATGCTCCATCCCTCGTCCTGGGCTCAGCCAATCGCTTGCTTCCGTCAAGGCAACGTTAGCAGATGTCCTACCAGAAGAGGCTTGACGTGGGCATGCACCGTGGAGCTTGCCTCACTGCACCTGCCGTCACCATGAGACTATCCCCACTGAGGATGACAAACAAGTGGGACAGAGTCCAGCTGTCCCCGTTCCTCCAACAAGGCTGGTCTAGATGGGCTGCTAGCCAGAGGACCCCCAGCGATGGCAGGAAGCCAGGCCGACGCCAGAGGACCGCTCGGCCTGAATCACCAATCACAGACTCACCAAGTAAATATTTTTCGTTTCAAGCCACTGGCCTTCGGAATGTTTTTTTATGCAACAGTATTGTGGCCATAGGTAATTGTAATCCCTACGTTTTTTAGAAATAGGGATGATGAAGGCTTATTAACAGAAACCAAGTAGTCTATTTTTATGCTAAATCCAAGTCCCACGCAAGGAAATCTGATTGGCCTGGTTCAAGTCAGGCATCCACCCTTGAGCCAGTCAGCCTTGGCCATATAATAAAAAAATACTACTGCTGGAACCCGTTCCGCTGGGTGAGGACAGATCTGAGAATTGATCATGTGGTTCAAGTATAATTTGCTCATAATTACTACAATGCTATGTTGCATTATTTAAGTAAGTCTTCTCTGTGTGATTTCACCATCAAATGTATACAAGTTAGATTCATTTGTCTTTTGTTTTACACTTATAAAGACTGCTTTTCTTTTTTTACTGACTTTTTGGCCCCCACTTCCCAATTTTGTTTTAAAAAAAGTTCAAACATACCGAAAAGTTGAAATAATTGTACAGCAAACATCCCCATACCCACCACCTCAGTCCAATCCTACACTAGCCGACATTTCCTGTATTTGTTTTTTCACATAATGTCCATCTAATAACCTTATTTTTTGACAGATTTACAAGTAAGGTGGAGCTATCAGTACACTTTCCTCTTAAACCCTTCAGCTTGTATAGCATTAACTACAGTTCAATATTTGCTCTTTTTTCTTTAAGGTTTACATACAATGAAATGCAGAAACCTTAATTGTGCCATTCCATGAGTTTTGACAAATGCGCACAACCTGTGTGATGCAAACCCTTATAAAGATACAGAAAATCTCCATCACCGCAGACTTCCCACAAGCCCTTTCCTAATAAGTCCTCACCCCATGGGCAAGCATTGTTCTGATTTTTTCCATTACAGGTGACTATTACTTTTCTGGAAGTCCCTGTAAATGGGATCATGCAGTCGGCCCTCTTGTATTAAGGGTTCTTCCATTCTGTGTGAGGTACTTGAGATTCATCCATGTTGCTGCATGTATGACTTCTTTCTATTGGTGAGTGGCTTCCCAGTGTATGAAAATACTACTTTGTTTATCCATCCCTTAGTGCACCAGAGCGCTTTCCCATTTGGTGCTCTTATGAATAAAGCTGCTATGAACATTTGTGTATGTCTTTTCTTGTAGACATTAGTCTCCCTTTTCTTGGGTAAACACCTAGGAACAAAATACCTGGGTCACAGGGTAGGTTTATTTAGTTTTGTAAGAAACTTCCAGACTTTTTAACAGTCCCATCGAGTAACGTCTGATGAGAGTTTTGGCCACTGTTTCATGTTGTCTGTCTTTGAATTTTTTAACCCCTCAGGTGTGCAAGTACAATGAATTTTGAAAAGTGAATACACCTACATAATCATGATAGAATATGTTCATCATTCTAGAAAATTCTCTCATGCCCTTTACCATCAACCCTCCACTTTCAGCCCAGAAGCAGCTGCTATTCTGATTTCTATCACCATAGCTTGTTCCTATTTGGAACTTCAAATAAATAGAATCTAATATATGTACTCTTTTATGCTGGGTCTCTTCTGCTCAAAATCATTTTGAGGTGGATTCATCTTGCTGACTACACCAATAGTTTGTTTCTTTTATTGCTGAGCAGTATTCCTCGGTATGAATGTACACGATTTGGTTATAATCAGCTCACCTGTTGACAAATATCCCTAAATCTTGGCTGTTAGGAATAAAGCTATTGCGAATTTTCTCATACAGGCCTTTTTGTGGACATATGTTTTTATTGCTCTTGGGTAAAAATCTGGGCGTGGACTCACTGGTCACAGGTGGCATGTTTACCTTTTTGGGAAACTGACAGTTTTCCAAGTTATGGACCATTTTACTCTCACACCAGCAGTGTTTGAGGCTTCTAGCATTCAAGATCCTTGTCAACACTTGAGCTTGTCTTGTTTTTAAACTAAGCAATGGGACCTATGATTTTGAATTTGCATTTCCTAGATGGCCAGTAATGCTGAGCACCTTATCATGTGTATACCTGCCATCCCTGTGTTTTCTTCCTTTAAGTGTCTGTCTGTGATGTTTTGCCTACTTTTAATTTTGCATTTAAAAAATTATTGAGTTGAAGGAAGTCTTTTATAGCCTGAATACCTGTCCTTTGTCACAAATATGTGCTGAAATGTTTTGTTCCCGCCTTTTAATTTTATTGATGGTGTCTTTTGAAGAGCAGGTGCTATCAGCTTTGATGAAGCTGTTTTTCCAGTTTCTTTTACAGCCCGTGCTTTGTGTCTGGTGAACTACATCTTGATATACAATCACGTTTATTTGTTTTTGGTTGCTTTCCATTTTTCGGTGTTGCTTTCTTCCTTTTTATGAACTTCCTTTTAAATTAGTAACCATAATGATATGGCTCCAAAGTCAAGCCTATAAAGCAAGGAGCATTTAGCGAGGACCTGCTTCCACCCCTGCCTCCCTCAATACCAGCCACTTACCTTTTTTACTAACCCTTCCTTTATTTTTTCTTGGAAATTATCTCCCTCCCCACTTCCTTACACAAAAAGTACTGTAATATATATATGTCTTCTTGTTTTTTTTTAATGATATATCCCAAAGAGACTACTCCATAGTAATTTATGGAGATTCCCCCCTTTTCTTTTCCCTCCTCTTTTCCTTCCTTTCTCTCCCCCTCCTTCCCTTCCTCCCCTCCCTCCTTTATTTTGGGCAGCTGCGGAACACCCTCAAGGATGGACATTTGGGTTAATTCTAGCCTTTTCTGCTGCAGTGAATGATCTTTTGACTATGTTATTTAATGTTTTTGCTAGTCCATCTTTGGGATACATTTCTAGAAACAGAAACAGTATTGCTGGGTCAAAGGGTCCCACCTTGGTAGCTCTGCTATCACCAAATCCCCGTCCAAGTTCCCATCCCCCAGACAAGCCATAGCTTTGCGTTTCTGCCAATCTGATAGGTGAGGAGGGCGGGGCTGTCTCGAGCGCTCCCCAGGATCTTGTGTCGTCCTGAGAAGCCACAGAGTATGCTGGCCAAGCGCCCGGGTCTCACTTCATGCCCGTGTCCGCACAGAGCCCAGCTTTGCCCTCATGGCCGTGACCCTGGGCAGAGCCCGGAGCCAGCCCCAGGCACAGAGGCTGACTTCTGCACGGGAGCTTCTCTCCAGGCCACTAGTCGTCGTCCTGTACTAATGCTGGCTTCCGTCACTGCACCGGGACCAGACCCATTACCTGGGTTATATCATCCAGGCACAAAACAACCCTGGGAGGCAGCTAGGATCGTCCCCAGTTTACAGATGAGGAGGAGGGAGGATGAAGGGTTTCCCAAAATCACAGCTAAGGAAGCAGGAGAGGCAGCTGGGCTTGTGAGGAGACACACATGTGCTTATACACAGGCACGAGTGTGCATGTTTGCATTACCCACGTGCACACATGTGTGTATCTGTGTCCATGTGTACACATACCTACTACGTTTTTACATGAGAGGGCCTGAAATGGCCTCCAGCTAGATCTATGACACATGGGGTAAGTTCCTCCGCACAGACTCACTCGCTCCAAGCACACTGAGCGGTAAGGCTCCGCGTGGATCGGCCCGCCCTGCCCTCTGAGCCTGGTGCGGATCTCCGCCCCGAGTGGGGCGGGAGAAGGGTGGAGAAGGACTGAGTGCAGCCTCCCCGAGCTCCTGCAGAGAATCGGCACGAAGGCCGCGCTCCGCGCCTGTGAGGGCGCACATCCAGTGGCTGCTCACCTGAGGCGGGCCCAGCAAGAGGCCTGCATTCCTGTGCATGGGCAGCCAGGCTGGGCGATGGGCACGCCTCAGAACCAGGGCTTGGACGCCGGAACCCATGCTGCCTGGATATCATTCTGGAACAAAATCCCCCCAGGGTACCGAGCCCAGTGTGAGGGGCCTCCCCCTCGGGTGACAAGTTGAATCTGGAGCCCTCCAGAAGCAGGACAGGAGACTATGGGTTCCCTCGCGGAGCTGGGGCTGACCTGTCCTCCCCACCAAGTCCTGCTGCTGCCCAGGGACCACGCGACCCGGTGGGGACAACGCAGCCCAACATCCTTTGCCCTCTCTTTAAGTGCTACCCGGAAATCGAGGAACAAGGCTGATGACTCCCCCATATCAGGTAAGACCCAGCTCCCTGTCCCCCAGCACCCCGGGGGCCAGGCACAGCCCAGACCGAAGCGGGGCCATGCTGATGTGGTCCCCAGAGGTCTCAGCACCTCTGAGGCTATGTGCTCGCCTGGAGAACGATCAAGAGCATTCAAACAAGCGAGTGATGCGGGGCTCAGTAGTCGCTAACTCAGCGTGACATCAGGACAGCTTTCTAGCTGGCTGGCAGCCTCGGACTGGCTGTTTTTTTTTAATGATATATCCCAAAGAGACTACTCCATAGTAATTTATGGAGATTCCCCCCTTTTCTTTTCCCTCCTCTTTTCCTTCCTTTCTCTCCCCCTCCTTCCCTTCCTCCCCTAAAACCTAAATTTCCAACTTAATTCCTCTTTCCCCTGTAAAATGGGTACAAGCGTCAGCCCCAGGCAGGGCTGAGGGGGCACCCGACAGGCAGGAAACCTCTTCCTGTCCCAAGGAGTCCAGACTGTGTGTCGAGCAGTCAACAGGGGCTTCCTACCATCTGGTTGCCCCCACTGGGAGGAGGCTCCTTTTCTGGGAGGAGCAGGTCCCTGTGCAGAGCGCCCACGTGGTTCCCAATAGGAACACGGGGATCCCTATCCATCACCCACACCATCAGAAAAATTATGGGGCTCCCATCCTCCCACTACGCCCTATCGCAGACATCACTCTGGGTATCCAGGGTCCCAGATTTCCTGTCCAAACAGCCTTACACCTTTTTCCAGGGCCCGTTCAGGGACATGTGTCCAAGCTCACAGTCTCAGAGCTGGGAGGCGAGGGGGCGCTGAGAGTCCATCCAGTGGGGCTCCGCTTGGGTCAGGAGGGAGCCCAGGTTGGGGGGAATCGGGGCGGGCCTGGCGCCCAGAGAGTGCCTCTGGGAAGGAGCTGGAACGCTGCCCCTTTTGGAGGCGGGAGGCCTGACATGCGGGAGCTCGTGCTGGGAGGCCGGCATACTGAAGTCCCATCCGAGCCTCTGTTACTTATTTACTGGGTGACCTCAGGCAGATTACTTAACCTTTCTGAGCCTAGTCTCCTCTGCAAAACTGGGATAATGCCCATCATCACCTCGTCGGTACTCTGGCAAGAGCGAATGGAGGCATGGCAGAGGAAAGTGCAGAGCTTAGCGTGTACTCAATGCTGGGTATTTAAAAATGAGAGCGGGACAGATTGTGGGCCCCGTGCTATTTCTGCATCCACTTCCTGGCACTGCCTGCAGGAAGATCTTTCATCCTAGGACACGAGGGCATAGTCGGAGTCCAAAATGCCAGGGTTCCAATCTGAGCTCCTCCATGTACTAGCAGCACAAACCTTGGCAACCTCTAGGCCTTGACTTTCCGTCTTGTAAAATGGGTGCCCCACCCAGAGGGCAAGTCTTCAGCTCAGCACCTGGCACACAGCAAGCCTGCAGGTCTGAGGGTGTTTCTCCTTCTCTCCCCAAGAGTCACCTCCTCCTGCTCCTCCGCCACCTGGAACCCATGGTCCTCCCCAGACGAGCTGCCGAGCCCTCCACATCGTCCCCACGGTAAGTGTACTGGGCTCAGGCCACCTGGCCCCTCCCCTGGAAGGTCCTCCTCCCCTGACCCCCCCAGCTGTCACCTGGGGGCGGACCCATCTCTCCAGGGTGAAACCATCAGTGCAGGGGCTAGCACACAGTAGGCGCTCAGGAATGTTGATGGACTGAAATCAAGTTCCCTACTCTGCAAATGTACCCTTCACCTGCACTGAGGAGGTTGGGTGTAGGGGTTTTTGGACAAACTTGCCGAGGGGTTGGGGAACCCTCTGAAGCTTGGAAGCTGCTGGGCTGGGTTGCAAACTCCCAGTGTGCAGAATGAGGGCAGCGACCTCAGCGCTGTAAAGGCCGTCAGAGCCCGGGGGTCCCCCTGACTAGCCACAGGGTTTTTCCCATAGTCCCCTGGAGGCAAGGGTGGTGAAAACGGCCAGAGGGAAATCAGGGCCCACTGGGATGACCGTAGGTGCGCAGGGGAGCACGTAGACCCTTCAGGAGGGCCCAGACCAGGGCTGGACATGGACATGGTGGGGAGGGAGGCGCAGGGTCTGACCCACCCCAGCCGTCGCCCCAGCACTGATCGCCAGCATGCCTGTGGTGCGGTCCGCCACGCCCACTCAGTCCTCGTGTCCGTCCGGCGGCGGGAAGCACATCGTCATGGCAACCACCCCATCCCGATCCCGGGGGACCTCACCTGGCTGCTGTGCACAGGCCTCTTGGTTTTCGGGTGAGTGCCGGTGGCCCTGGGTAGGGGGGCGGCCCGCTGGGTTTGGAGGTCTGGTCTGTGGTGCGGAGGGGCCGGGTTTCTGAGCACACCTTGCAGGCAGCAGGGCCAAGGATAAGGTGGGGGCCCCGGTGTGTCCGTGCAGCTTCAGGTGAGAACCCTGCCCAGCCCCAGCCCCCGGCCCCCACAGGTGTTTCCTGGGCTGCTGCTTCATCCCCTTCTGCGTGGACAGCCTGATGGACGTGAAGCACACGTGCCCCGTGTGCCAGCAGGAGCTCTTCCGCTACCAACGCCTGTGAGCCTCCACGAAATAGAGCGATCAAGTGACCTCTGCCTGCCATGTCTGTCCTGCTGGGGTGCCTCCTGGCCCAGGGGGGTGGCAAAGGCCCAGAGACCTCAGTGGAAGGCTAGGTTCATGCTTGGGCCACCCTGCACACAGGTGGTAGCCCTCCACCCGCAGGGGCTCCAGCCTTCTGCCCTTAGAAACCATGACCCCTGATCAGCTCCAGTCTTGCCATCAGCGCAGGCCTCTGCCTCTCATGAAACTGTCTCTGCGGCTCCAGGCAGGGGAACTTTGCTCTCTGTGTCTGCAATACCCCAGGCCTCACACCTAGGCCCCGCCCTCCCTGGGAGGCCAGTGACTTCCCATTGCTAGATCTGGCCGCCTCCTGCAAGTCCAGGCAGCAGGTCCAGTTGGGTCCCAGCTTGGTCTCTCCCCTTCTCAGGTCATTCCCGATGCTCCTGGCTGCACCTGCATCCCACAGCCCTCTGCTTGGACGCCCCAGGGACCTGCACACCCTAGGGTCTCCCCACCTCCCACATGGCCCTGGTGGACAGAATTTGCCACCCCCCATAGCACCTCCTCTTATCCCACAGCCACCAAGCCAGCAGCAGGACCTTCAGTCCAGGCTCTTTTGTCCCGTTATCCCACCCTGGTCCTTCCTCCCTGTCCCAGGTGCTGCCCTCTGCTCCTGGTCACCTGCAGCCAACGGCTGGCCCAGTCAGCTCAGCTCACGGGTAAGAATGCTTACCTCTCACTTTGATTATGCCAGACAGCTGCCTGGAACTTGCCACCCTCAGGTCCAGGTCCACACTTTTAACATGAGGAGTTTTGGAGCCACTTGTGAGCTGGCCCCTTGCCCCTCCCCAACTCTGCGCTCCAGCCAGAACCCAGAGCTGTCTATTCACCCAGGCGCCCACTGTCCCGTCTCCCCTCCCCTCGCCTACTCCTGCCTGGCCCAGCAGTGCCATTGCTCATGCATAGGCCTCCGTTACTTTCCCCAGGCCTGGGCGCTCCCAGGGTCTGATGGGGACAAGGGGTTTCATGGGAGCTGGGATGGGGGAGCAAATCCTCCCAAATCTCTGTCCACCCCCAACTCCACAACAAGTTTAATCCTCAGCACTCCTTCAAGGCAAGAGCACAATAGCTTGATTGCTCTGCAAAGGCCTGGCAAACGTCTAGGATGCTGAGGCCCCGAGTTGGTGTTGAATGGGATCCCCTCTGGGTGAAACGGGTCTGCCTGGGGAAGTGGTCAGGTGGGGGACAAGCAAGCTTGGGCACAACTAAAGGATTTTTCACTTTGCAAAACGCGAAAAATAGCATTCATTCATTCATCTTTTCCGTTAAAGTGAGTTTCCTAGGGTGTGAGTTAGGGCAGGACAGAGCAGTCGGAAGACAGGCATGTGAGATAGTTTATTCACCACCACCTCGGGAGGCGGTGTTCCCCACCCGCTGTCGGAAGGCACAAGGCCAGCTCGCCTGTCCACGCCCACTAACAAGACCAGGAGCAGAACCTTGACCGAGCCTGATTCCCCAGAACTCCTGCATCAGCGAGTCAGGGGGCATGTGGGCAGAGAGAGAGAGAGAGCGCGCGTGCGTGTGTGTGTGTGTGTCCTTTCGGCAGCCAGCAACTAGAAACCCACCTCTCTCGTCTGACAGATCAGGACACGCAATGAAAGTGAACCCAGGGAGACAGGCCCCAGGTTGACAACACAGGTGGCCACACTTCTAGGTTCCATTTCTAGAAGAGATCACACTGTCTCAGACGGCGCAAGGGTCAGCTACTAAAGAGAAAGTGAGTCACGAAGACAACACTACCCAGAGGAGCCAGCCTTCTCCTGGGACCTGGGTGGCCACACCTGCCCCACGGGTGCTAGGCAGGGGCTGTGCCAGACCCAGATGCCTGGGCAGAGCTCCGCTCTCGCTGACTCCACACCTCAGGCGACGTGCTGGCTCCGACCTTGACTCCCGGGTAGGTCCACGGACTGGAGGGGCCAGTGTGGGGCCAGTGCCGTCCTGTAGCAGACACCCTGCTGGTCGCAGCACATCAGGCCGCTAGTGCTCGGGTCCTCCTCCACTGGCCCGGTTCAGCTGCCGGTGTGCCCACGGGATGCCCTGTCCAGCTCCAAGCAGCATCCTCCCAAGGTCACTCCTCAGGCGTTTCTGGGCCAGACTGCCCGGTGTTGAGAAAACATCATTTGCCAACTTACAAAACTCACATGCAAAACACAGACTTTTCAGCTTCCTTTAAAAACCCTTTCGGTCCAGCTGCACAGGACCCTCCTTCAGCAATCGTAAGGCTGAACAACAGCTGTGCCCTTAGTTCAGCCCTGCAAAGTCCCTCTTGTCCCCAGCGCCCCAGGGCCTCCTCACCCACTGCCTTGGACAACCTGGCCTAAACTAAACCACTGCTCACACTGCGTCTTCACGCCTGAGGCCTCGTTCCGGGACAGCCTTCATCCTCCCGAGATCTCACTGGGAAGCAAGCTGGGGACACAGGTGAGGTCATGGCCTCATTCTGTGTGCCCCTTTCTGAGGGTCAGCCTCACCTCCCCAGGCCAGGAGGGCAGCCAGGGAGGGCCTTGGCCTGGGCTCCTGAAGGTCTCACCTCAAAGCGGGGACAGTACCCTCCTTCCCCACAGGAAGGGCGGCCAGGGGCACCTGGAAAGCGGGTGCTGAGGTGGGCAGGGAGTCTAGGTCCCCAAGCCAACTTGCATTCACCAGGCCCCGAGAGCCCAGTCAGCTTACTCACCTGTCAAGATTGGTCACCCTGGGCGGCCCTGACGCCTCACTGTGACAGTAACTCTCTCCCAAGCATGGCATGAACCAAGACAGAAGCGGTCTCCACGCCCTGGTACAGGAGCAGAGCGGCTGACGAGGCACCAGCCAGGGCAGGGCACAGCTGCATGGTTGACAGCAGCCTGGGAGCCTGTTGCAACCTGGGGCTGGTCCCGCCCTTTCCAGCCTGGAGCCCCAGGGGAGGCCCGCGGCTGGCGGTGGGGAGGGGGTACAGGGAGAGGCCACGTCAGGCAAAGGCAGCCCACAGGGGCGGAGATGAAGCCCAGGGAACAGCAGGCACCCGGGGGGGCGGGGCAGGGCTAGGCAGGCACCACTCTCCCCAAGGAGGGGTGGGCTTCACGGGGGCTCCGAGTGGAGGCTTCTCTCTCCCAACATTTATTAGAAATTCTCGCACATACACCTGGCAGTATCTTTGTGTGAATGCCCACGTCCACCCGCAAGCCACTGTGGATGGACCTTGATCTGGAGGGGGTCACGGTCCCTCTGGGGCTGAAGGGTAGGGACCCTTCCTCTGGACTGAAGACACATTTTTGCTCAGCCCACTCTTAAAGGCCCCCGTCATGGAAAATTAAGGTGGGGACGGACGAGCCAGCACAAACTCCCATCTCCCAGCGGCTGGGTAAGGAACTTGGGGACTTTGTCCTCATTTTTGCTCCCATCGGTAAATGAATGTCCCGAAGGCTTCTGTTAACGAGGTCAGGAAAACACAACTCCGACGCACTGCTTTCTGTATTAACTGCACAACTCCTAGAGTGAGCTAATCATTGTTACAACCCACGAAGTCAGCAAAATCAGATGAGAACAGCTGTACCCACCATGGTAGACGAGCGCCACATGTGGCAATTTAAATAAAAAAATCTCCCCCTTCAGCCGCACTGCAGACACTCAGGAGCCACACGTGGGGCAGGGCACAGAACATTCCAGGTTGGCAGGAGGGTCTCTTGGCCAGACTGGAAATGGCAAACTGTCAGGAAATGTTACCCAACCTATTGGCCTCTTGCGTGGCAACCTCATGTTTGCAAATGTTTGCAGTGCAGGGTGTGCCTGGCCGGGCTCATCGTGACACGCCTTCGCCCCGGTGACTGACCTCGGCCGGCATCAGCCGCTCCCGCAAACCTGAGTTTGGCCCCTTTCCCCCCAATTCCAGGACCAGCCAACTCTTGACGACTTCCTTCTGTCTTTATAAGCTAAGTTTTACTGGAACTCATCCTCCCGTCAACACTGAGAGCATGGCTGAGTCGATGCCACTCAGACCACCAGAGCCCCCAAGCCAAAGATGTATCAGATGCTCTTGAACCAGGAAAATGGTTTCGAATGAGATACATCAGTAAACCACTCACCAGTCTCAGTAAAGTGCAGGCCAACGAAGACACAGACGTGTGCTCCTTAGGAAGTTGAGACACGTATGAGGAAAGCCCTAGGTGGAAGGCTGTCCTCACGGGGCAGCACAAGCCGGTGCCCAGGGTCACGTCCGGAGGGGCCCGGGCTGTGGGGCACCTCTGCAGGCAAAGCCACGTCCAACAGACAGGCCCGTGACCACGCACTTGTTAACAAAGCAATCCCAGACACCTAGGCAGGACACATGCCTCTTCTGGCTGGACGTGGGGGAACCATGACAGCAGATGTGGAGCTCTGAGATGTGACCGGCAGTTCACCTCAAAGACAGTCCCCAAGGCGATCTCGCGGACTCAGGGAAGGTGCTTACGGCTACAAGGTTAACAGCCTGTATTTAAGGAACTGCGGTCACAGATGGAAATGGCAGTCCTGTACCCTAGGATGCTCGTGACTGGAAAACGAGCCGGTTCTTTCAGCCATGGCTTCTGTGCAAGTCAGCTGGGGTGGGCCCAGTGGCCACATGGTCCTCAATCCCTTGTGAACGTCACAGACAGGCTCCCAGGGATCCTGACTTCTGTTAATCGGTGACACCAACACATCTGCAAGAGGCCAGGCCATCCTGGGGTTGGGGGGCTTCTTACAGGCAGTCCCACCTGTCCCTCCAGAATTAGTTTTATGACTCCTAATACTGTGACTGGGAGTCAACGGGAGAGGAAACAGCACAAACTGTCCATGCTGTGAAAATTTTTTGTAAAAACAATGATTTAATAACTTAGGGGAGAATACTGTTTGTCAGGAATACCCGACTATAACCATCCCTCAGCCAAAACCTAAAGCAAAAAAATCATCACCAGAATGTTCTTAGTCAAACACGCAGTGAGAGGTTCTTGCCTGCCTGCCCCAAACTCCTCCCTCTTTCTGCAGGAGGAAGGGCTGGTGGGCGGACGGGGTTCCCCCAGCACCATGTGGTCTGTGCACTGGCTGGAAGGCGGCTCTCGGGCGAGAAGGCACACACGGGACAGCAGAAGCCTGGAAACAAAGTCACCCACAGGAAGGGACCAGGAACCAGGCCTGGGAGGCGGGCCCCACGCAGGGCCAGGCCCATGAGCGCATGCCTTTGCCAGACTAGGCCTGCCTCCTGCCAGTTTACTAATTATTTCCAGCCATCTTATTTGCACAGGCTACCCTCCCGGCAAAGGTTTTCTTTTCTTAAGCTTAATCATGACAAGAGGCAAAGACAAAAAGCCGGCCAACCTCCCAAACCAGGACTGGCCACCACAGCAACCCAGAAGCTGGGGCACCCGTGCCTCGGTGACATCTCGTATGAGGGCAAAGGTTCCCGGGCTGGTTCCAGGGAGAGCGGAAATCGTGCTCAACCTCCACGTCACTCACTGAATTATAATTTTTATAGAAAATTTTATTCAACATACAACATTTTCCAGCAAAAAGGCAATATACAGGAAGAGTTGGTGTACACTGCTACAGAAACAAACAGAAAGTACTGGAAAAGGATGGAAAGTAAGTGTGATTTGCGGATTCTATTTTACTTGCACTCAAAACTAGACGCAGCTGGCATTAGCTCCAAAACGAAAGAAAACAAGGTTGGGACTGAAATAAAACTACACACAATGAATATCAACATCAGTGAGACACTCAGATGCACCCAACCAAAGTCACCTCCCAGTGGTGAACTGTATATGTTCATTCATTAAATATACAATTTCATTTTTCCTTTTTTCCCTCTTTTTTAACTTTTTTTAAACTTTTTAAAACTTTTTTTTACAAAGTCAACAGCTTACTGACCACTAGTGAGCATGCCCTCTTCGGTAAAGGCTCTTTTTTTTTTTTCCATCTGTTCCATTGTTTCATGTTAAGGAAACTGTTTATAATCTTTCCACCTGCTTGTGGGAACTGCTGAGATCACTACATTTGCCGAGAGGCAGCAAAGTACACCTTCATTGTATATAACAGTGTTTTGAATTTAATAAAAAGACCCCCCAAGTGTCTGTCAGGACTGTACTCAGAGCACCCACTTTGCCCGTGGGCTGCAGAGCAGTGGGAGCTGACGGAAGCGAAACGGGTGTATTAAAAGACCCAGGCGGCTGGAGGAGGACCGACAGGACACGCCGTGGAGGAACGAGCACTGTTTATTAGGTTGTGCATTTCCGTTTTGCCTTTACAGATGCACAGAAGGTCACTGAAAGTATAACTGAAGGAAACATGTCAGAAGAGCCTAAACATAAGACTAGCTGCAAGGCTGGTGACCAGGACGCCAGGAAGGCGGCCAGGCAGCACATGCCAACTAGGAACAGACCAGAAACCTTTTGCCACTCACCTCTCTTCCCCGTGATTGCTGACAGTTGCCTTGCACTTTGATTACCATAAAATAACTCTCACTGGCATCCAAACTTTATAAAAACACCTTCATTTTGCTCAAAAAGGGCAGTCAATAGATACAGAGAAGCCAAACTCAACAGCCTCAACAAAATAAAATTAACATCAGCAGCAAATCCTCTTGCTGAAGACTTCGGACAGAGTGCACGTGTACCAAAGTTCTAGGCTGTTAAAAAGGGGCACGCCCCCACGCACGGCCCCTTGCCTCTCACACACTGGGTAAGGAAGTCAGTTATGGATTTTAATGGCCTTTTCAAGGTAGGTGTAGCGACTCCTCTTTGGGGCTTTGTTGAAATGGTCGAGCCCTAGCCAAGGCCGAGGATGAGACATGTTACCTGGTGGGGAGAGATAGAGAGAACTGAGACCACAGGGCAGGCTCCAGGACCCTGTGGCCAGCAGCGGCCAGGAAGCCATGGCCACCAGGAAGCCACAGCCGCACTGACGCCCGAGGCTTGGGCTCAGTGGGGTGGGACGTCTGAGTTGTAGGCTCACCCAGCGCCAGGGACCCCCACACCCTAACCGAAGGTCTCAGCAGCTTCAGTGCAGTGCTGTCAGAGGGCCTGCAAGTCACCCAGGAGCCACCAACACTCGGCCCTGAACCGGAGGGTTTAGCCACCGTGTAACGCATGCCGAGACTTAGGACCT